GGGTCTGAATACTTTCCTTACCCACTGTATATAGGGAGCAGTGGGCTGCCAATGACAGGCGCCTGGGGAGCAGTTAGGGGTACAGTGTCTTGCTCAGGGACACTTCGACACAGGACACGGTGCAGCCGAGGATCAAACCTTTCGGTTGGCGGACAACCCTCTCTACCCAATAAGCCACAGTAGCCCCCAAAGAAAGACAAGAATTGTCTGATTGTTCATCAGTTATGTGATTGGACGCTGCAACCGACATTGATACGATTTTTTTTCAACACGTAAACAGTGAAGACGGATGGCAGATTAAACTCAAGCTTTATATTTGATTAGTTTTCTGATCTGGTTTAAATATATGTTCATTGTAGGTCTAAGGGACCACAAATAACTTTCCTAATCTATTAGAAATATTTGTCTTTTCATGATCTGATACTTCCCTCAATAACTTTTATTATGGATACAATTACAGTCAGAGAGAGCTTTTTACATAATTTATCATTTAAATCAGTCACGTGAGGCTGATAGTTCCTGAGTGTTGGGTTTGATGAGTTTTATAATTTAAGTTTAACCTGAAACATGGAGCCTAATAAATTAATGTTAGTATTCAAGATAAACCATAATCATATTCTGGGTTAATTAATAACGACGCCACAGTCACAATTTCAAAACGTACAGACGCAAATAAGTCATAAATAAGTCAAATGCATTCTGCTGGTAGAACACAGCAGAGCGCTTCTAAATAGAACACAGTTTGTTAAAGAGGTAACAGGTTACAGAGAGAAAACACCTCTACAGTGATGATTACTGTGTCTTTATTAGTTATTAGTATTATTAGTTACTAGTACATCATTATATACAGATGATGGAGTAATATGGAAGAGGGGAAAAAATGTTGATTTATGTGATGAAAATTATACAGAAAGCTGAAAAGTATACAGAAAGCAATAGTCAATGTAGAGAAATGGTCTTATGAATGGGGATTTAAAATGTCAGTTGAAAAGTCATGCTATATGCTGATTACCAAAAAGAAAATGGGTTATGGACAGGGGTCAACATTATACAGTAAGCCCATGGATAGAGCTAGAATATTGAAATATCTTGGTTTAAAATATAATAAGGTGTTAAACGTAATGAGGTGTGTGGTTGGATTTGAATGGGGAGCTGATAAAGAAGCATTACTACATTTATACAGGGCTTTGATGAAAACTTATATGGAATGGTTGCATGGTGTACGAAGCAGCAGCAAAAAGTAATCTTGAAAAAATAGATAGACTACAATACAGAGCCATACGACTTAGCTTGGGAGCAGTTTTTTTTTTTTTTTTTGGGGGGGGGGCGTTGTTTTGTTTGTTTGTTTTTGTTTTTTAATTTATAAATAACATTATTATTGTGTTTAAATGATAACTGTCATAAAGTCATGATGTTACACACTCCGGTACAGTAGGTGGTGGCATGCACCTAAACGTTGGTTTGTAGTCCGCCAATAAACTGAAAGAAGAAGAAGAAGAAGACGAAGAAGAAGAAGTCCTGTTTGACATGCAATCGACAAAAGGTCTGCCGATAAATGTGCAGCGATATGTTGGTGGCTGGTGGTAGTGTAACGTTAATGTCCAGGTGTGTTGGTCTCATATTGGTTAAATGTGCTGTTACTCTGCCATCATTTCGTGGTGCTGGATATAGAGGGATAGATGTATCTGCCGGGTGCCTCAGACTGATCCAGAGCCGAGCTCGCAGCAGCCCGCCGTACGTTACTACAGGTCAGTGGTGTGGCCTTTAGGTTCCAGTTAGTGTACTGGGACACAATATATTATGTGCAACACACACAGATTAATTTCACGTGATGTGTATAGAATGAAGTTGAACTAAAGGTACGATACCCAGCCCTAGCAGCGTACTTTTGTCCATTTCCGTTTGATCATGTTTCAGTTAAACAAGAGCTATTCAAAATATTCGACCTACGCTGTCGTTAGCCGGCCAGTATTGCAAGGGAATAGTAGCGTTATGCGATTAACCAGTCTATATGTACATCCCATACAGTGATTGAGGTTTTGCGACTTCCCCTAATGATTAGTCCAGCCTTAATTCTTTTTTGAAGTTCTTCAAAACTTGGTTTAGTATTTACATAAGCCAGTTAAGCAAATTGGGCATTATAATGACATTGTCATTGACAATGACTTTTGTTATTTTTTATTTTTTACACACACATAATGGGTGAAGAAAAAGGGCAACAAATTATGCACAGTTTTATCAGATTGTAGATGTAAAAACGCATGTTAAAGCTCTCATATTACATCACTTTAACTTCGCAGTCATTGTTTTATTTCCAACCTAATGCCCTAAAATACAGAGCCACAACAACCCTATCACCATAAGATTTCTTTACTATATTATACACTGTACCATACCTTTTGTGCATTGTAACATTGTTCTGTTCCTCTGACATTGCTGTAGCCTACTGATCTGAGAGAGGCCAGCACTGGGAGTTGTTGGAAGTGAAGTCTTGTCTGACTATGTTGTCTTCCTTCCAAGGCAAGCTGGTGCAGAATGGGATGGATAAGAAAGTAGTGGTGAGTCTTCACTGTATGATCTGTAATCTAATAATCTGTTTTTTCCCCTAGAGTCATTCAACTGTTTAAAGTTTAAAACTTTGAAAATTCATAACAAAACAGTCATACGTGGTCGCACTTTCTAACTTTCACCAGCAGACGCACTCATAATGATGGCTGCAGTTTCTAGTTTTCAATTATTACCCATTTTACAGTGATTAAATACTAATCATCATGCGTCACATACCAAAATACATGCTCATATCATAGCTATGTCCCTTTTCGTCATAATTTTTGTGGACCAGCCTGTTAACAAATGTCCCTCTGTCACTGTTTTCAGATTTGCATTGAGGGGAACATTGCCAGTGGGAAAACGACATGTCTGGAGTATTTTGAAAAAACTAGCAATGTAAAGGTACAACAAAACAAGTCCTTATACAGTTATATTGTGCATAATGTTGATTTGTGTGCACATGCTCCCACCAGGAGGTTCACATTCAGATGAAAATTTGATTATTTAATCCACTGTTTCAGTACAGCAATGTTACTGTTGAGTCATGACCCTGGACATTGGAAATGTTCATTAATGAATTTGCTTCTCTTTTTTGGTTCCAGGTCCTTACAGAGCCAATTTCTAAATGGAGGAATGTCCGTGGACACAACCCTCTGGTATTGTACATGACGGTGTTGTTATCATTTTTCAATCAGACTTTTTAAATCTGATCAGACCTAAAATTATTTGCAGGATAGGTTCTGGGAGCAATAAAATAGGACTTTTAAAATGATTTTTTAAATGAAACAAAACTAAAGATGTGAAGAGCTACTAGAGGGGCTGCATTGTTTGTTGCAAGAATCTGAGACGGACAACCTACCTACATGGTTAAATACCAATAGAGGGAAGAGAGAAAATTAGTTTTCTGACTCTATTGTGAACTTACCTTTTAATTTCATGGCAATCTAGTTGATTTGGATATGTCCTGTGGTCCATAAATACAAGTGAATTTTGTACTAATGGTGGCACTATGTTCAGAAAAGTCGCCAAAAAATATCAGGATCCATCCTCTCGGGACCATTTTCCAGCAAAACCACGTGGAAATACATCCAGTGGTTTGTCCAGTAGTCATTTAATTTTCTGTATATCTTCCATGCTGGTCGTGTTAGCTGTGTGTTTCTGTCAATGCAGGCTCTGATGTACCAAGATCCTGAGCGCTGGGGCATCACACTGCAGACATACGTTCAACTCACCATGCTGGATACACACCTCTCAGCCATGGTAAGTGTACTGTTTGCTAGAAACACACCAATCTTATTGTGTACTAGTAAATATACGCAATGTCAACCTGCATTGCTGACACATTGGTAGTTGTGGACTGGTGATGCAAACATATGACCTCATCAGAAAATCAGCTGTATGTACTTCAAGTTTCTTGTGGGTTCCAGACAGCCCCTGTCAGGATGATTGAGAGGTCCATCTTCAGTGCCAAGTACATCTTTGTGGAGAATCTCTTCAGAAGGTATCTGTGGTTTGAGAAACTTCCACTCCTGGATCAGACCAAAACATTGTATGAATCAATGCATATAGAATATAATTTCAGGTTACCTCTCATGCTTGAGGGATTCTGTTGCTGAACAGTTCAAGCTTTATGTCTATATAATACCAGGGGTGTAACAATATGTGTATTGGTATTGAACTGTTTGGTACGGGACGTTCAGTTCTACATGCGACATCCCCTCAGTACGCCCTTTGACCCAAACAGCTGTTTGTGTCTACTTCTTGCACACACCAAACAGAAATTCTGGAGTGCTAGTTTTCCGTGGAAAGTCTTGACAGCACACCACTTGCTGTCAACTGTAGCAGCGCTGCAGCATGCTAGTTGGTTACACCCGGTAAGCTGGGTTAACCAAGCTCAAACTGTATGTGGACCACACTCGATCGTAGACAATACAGATTTAAAGCATACGCGTGGTTAATGTGCTTGAGGTCCGCTACAATGTGAGTTCACATTTGCATTTAGTCAGTCCATTGTACTCGTTTACGTGAAATATATGTGGGACGGGGACTGACAGGAACAATTTCTCTGCACAAGAGAGCTCCCTATACTACGACTGCAGAGGACATTTTCAGCTCAGGTTCAAACTGCACCATCTTTTCATTAAATATATTTGAGAAGTTGAAAATTTGGGTCGCGGCTTGTCATTAAGGGGTGATGGTGGGTCCCGCAGTGAGACCAGCTGAGAACCACTGGTCTAGATGAAGTTCACAAATTCTGAGAATTTTGTCCTGATAACGGAATTTTTGACACCAGTTTGAAATCTACCTTCAACACACCCCTGTAGATTCACAGGACTTGAGAA